ATATGAGTATTAATATTAGTTTTAATATTAGAGGGCAGAATTAAGATCAGTAGAACTAGAATTAGACATCGTAGAATTCATTAGTAGTATTGATAATCTGAAGGTGTAAGGGCAGAATTGTAGCTGGTAGAATTTCAACAGGACCGGTAGCATTGTGAATCTTAAGACTTAAGAAGAACAACTATAGGCACTGGAAAGAGCATAGTAGCATTGGTCATCTTCAGAATGCGGCAGAATCATATATAGTCAGCAGAGTTAGAACAGTAGCAGTTGCAATCTTAAGAAAACGCACGCGCACAGACCTGTTTTTTGTTAACCATGCACAGGGTCACAACTATATTTCGCGTACCGTGTCGGTACGACTGTTACTAGTAACAGTGATAGCGCAACCTGCCCTTCGTTTCATGCGCAGTTCTTCTCGGCGAGAGCAGTCCAATGCGGCTGATGAGCATGTGTGTTCTGCTTAGCCCGTCTGAGGCACGTGCGACATGTGTGGAGGCCGGCAGCAATCCTAGCTGTCCCGTGCTGAAATTCCAGAAGTATGCTCGTTCACAGAAAGGGTTCTGAAATCTCGGGATGCGCTATTGAAGCACCACCTCGTCTCCATCGCCCACCATTTCGTATAATTAATCCTTCAGCCCCATATAAACCTTACAGAACTGCAAGATTGCCTTCCAGTCTCCAAGCCTGAAGCGGCCCTAAACCCTGCCTGATCGGCACATTATGTTGAAACACTCTGATATAAGATAATTGCGATATGAAAATATGCTTATGTTTGTAAGGAAAATACGATCATAATATACTGATGTAGGAACGTGATTCAGAAACCCTTTGCCTCTCACCCCCAAAAATGTGAGTATTCATATATGGATTCCAAATGACCTAATGAAGGCCCAAGGTTTCTTAATCAGCTTCCTACATCAGTATTGCACCATAATGACTTCAGAATAGACTGTTGTTATACTAATGTTTGTTTATAGAAGTACTATCATACTATACTTATGACTTCCTACGTGTGCCGACTACAGTAGAAGCCCAAAAGTTGGAAACCCAATAGCCTCAACCCTTAACAGTAATGTATAGGGAATCCCAGCACTATTTGACCTTAGTCCGGTTTCCAACTTTATGGGGTTTACGGTAAGCGAAGCAGGTCCGTGGCATCGTGGCTGCCGGAGGCGTGAAGGGCGCCGCGGTGGCCGCCACTGGGACCGAGGCCCTCCTACGCAGGGTTTGGGGATCCCCAGAGCCTCCAAAACCCCCCTAATTTCGGAATATACCCTTTAAGGACGCCTTAAAGGGATCTATAAGGGTTCTATGAGCGGATTCAGGCATATGCCTGAAATCATATTCGGGCATCCTACTATAACATATTTAACGTATATTCCTTGATCAAAGGGTTTTGTAGTCTCCGGGTTTAGGGATCCGCAGGTTCAATAGTCTGCCGAGACGAGCGAGCAGCATAGGTTGGGCATTTCGGTTGACGTTGTTGAGGGCATAACAACAACAGGCAAAACCTAAGGAATAGTATGGCGAATTATTCTTAGCCCTATCTTCAACCTTCATAATAAGTATATACTAGCCCTAAGCACCAAACCATAAATCCTAATCCTAAAGTCCTAAAGCCTAAACCCTCCACCGCAGCCCGAGGGAGCAAGGGAGGGGCTGCGCTTTCGAGACTGAAAGACTCGGGCTTGGGCTCGGCTTGATGCGGGATCTGCTCTACTAGAACATGCCCTTAATTTTCTGACATATTGAAATGTACTACATACGACAATATACCAGGATGCACTACAATGTGCCATGATATACTTTCAGGTACTACCATATGCGTACCACGACCGCTTGCGAGGCTGTAGAGCTGGCGCCGGAGCTCGCGGCGGAGACGGTTCCCAGGTGTCGACACTTATCAGGGTTGAGGGTTTAGGGTTTGGGGTTTTAGGGTTTTGCGTCATATAGACTCCCGAACAATCAGTATTACTATTCCTCCGGGTTCCTTATTTGAGTTGGATTTATGCTATACACCCAAAACTGAATCTTGTTTGCAAAGGCCCCTGTAGTATCCTTGTGCTCTTTCCTTCGATCATTCTGTTAGTGGGTCTTATATCTACTAGAATCGTATTCCAGGGTTCCTGGTTTCCATAATAGGCTTAGGGCTTAGGGTTTAGGGTTAGGGCTCAGGGTGTAGGGCTTGGGTTAGGGGTTTAGGGTTTTTAATCCCTGAACCCCAAATCCGAAACCCATGAAGTGCACTCAGCATCCTAAGCCGTAATCCCTAACTATAAACCCAGACCCTGAACACGACACCCTATAAACTCAGGACCCTGAAACCCCGAAGCTCGACACCTTGCAAGCCTCGCGTCCGATCAAAGTTCCAACTTGGGTTCAGGGTTTGACCAGGACCCCCCAAGGGCCCTTTAATAGAGTCCTTAATAGTGGGTATTTAGGGTATATTAGAGGGTAGTTGGGGGGTCTAGGGAGGGGTCGGGGTTTAAGGCTTTAGGGCTTCAGGATCTAAGGGTCATGGGCTTTAGGCTGTTAGGGTGAAAGGGTTTATAGGGTTTTGCGCATGCTTGCCATGCAGGAAATGCAGTGGCTGCAACCTGCAGTGAGCTTCGCTGACAGTTCCTTGAGGTGGTGCTGGTAACATAGACTAGGACCTAGACTAGGCCCTTATTCTTTATTCCTTTTTTAGATCTAGGGTGTCCCTTATAAGCCCCTTTGAACCCAAAAGGGGGCCGCCTTTTTTATTCCTAGGTTACTCTTGGGTCTAGTAGGAAAGGGAAGTACTTCAAGGACCTCTGGTCTCCTGTAAGGATTCTGCGAGGGCTCTGGGGCCTAGGGTTGACGCTAGGCCATTGATATGTAGTTTAGGATTTTGGCGAGTTTATGATTATTAGGTACTTGGACCCTTAGGGAAGAGGTTTAAAGGGCTCCAAGAGACTGCAAACCCCCTGGGCTAAGGATTAGGTTTCAGGGTCTAGGTAGGGTCTGTGGTTGTAGGCTGCGTCTATCCTTGTAGGGAGGGTAAGAAGATATTGCAGAATGCGGAGCATCGTAGGGTCTCAGACAAATTGAGTGAAACCTTCTCTTTTAGGGTTCCTTTATGATTTCCTTGTATAAATCCTAAAAGGGTAAGGTTTTGATGTGTTCTGGATTAAGGGTTCACATCCACCCGGCATGGTCGTCGTTAATGTCCCTGCTGCTCTGGCCACCAAGCGTGCCACTGCGTGCTCTGTACACAGAAACCTCTAGGCTCCATTGTAGTAGCTTCCTTGGGTTCCCTTATAGGATCGTACATGTAAAGTTGGTTAGATAGAAAAGAAACTACAACGGAGACTACAAGACGCGTCGAGTTGTGCGCTCAGCGGTTCAAAAGAGGCTTCTTCAATGAAACCTGGACGGCTTTGTTTAGGGCTCAGGGTTTAAGAGGCTAGGGGGTTTTGGGTTTAAGGTTCAGGGTACTTGGCGGAGAAGATGAGCCCCGCATGAAGCCCTATAAGCCTATAGCAAAACTCAATTCTCACTAAGTCTTCGGTGCCTGACCTTCCCTTGCACTAAAGCACCCGTATAGCTGTACAATCAAGTAATATACCCCAACAGAAACCCTTTCAACACCCTATATCACCCAGCAGCACCCCCGTATTCTAATATTGCGTCTCCTATATTCCATCTCAGCGTTTTCATTGATTTCGAAACGTCCTCTGAAGCTGGGCCTTTAAACCGGGAGCCACGGAGGATGGGAAGGTGACCCAATGGGGTCAAGACTAAGCAAAAATACCCCTTAAGTAGGACTGTACCTTAAACGATATGGGGCTCAATATTATGACTTAAGGTGTATTCCTTGTATTGGGCTCTCTTCACTTTCGGAAGGTGCCGGAAGCAGGTCGCAGATTTCGACACATTTCGACAAAACCTCCTTTCTGTGCTATTTTCGGATTTGGAGTATTAGGGCTTTGAGGAACCTTACGTATTCCTTGCTCGAACCCGAAAATCCTATATCCAAACGGCCCTACTCTATGGCACTTCCCGGGCCCTTACCCCTGAACCATTAACATCTTAAACGTCTAAACCCTAAGCCATAAACCCCTAAACCCTAAACCCCATAAACCCCTAAACCCTAAGCCCCAAACCTAAACCCCCTAAACCCCATAAACCCCTAAACCCCCTAGCACAAGCGTCCGTGAGTGGGAGCCAGGCCCTGCTTCGAGGGTTTTGGGGCTTTCTTAGTTCGAGGTGTGGGTTGGGGGACCCCTAGATTCAGGGTTTTGGGGTTCACGGGTTCAGAGTTTGGGGTTTAGGGTTCAGGATTCAGGGAGTTGGGCTTTAGGGCTTTAGGGTTTTGGGGTTTAGGATTTAGGTTTTGGGGTTTCTGAACCAGACAAGGCTTGCTGTAAGGGTTCCTACAGCGCTTCTAACGAGGGTTCTTACGTGAGGATTCTGATTCAACATTCGACTCGAAAGCGGGTCTTACAGAGTCTGTGTACTCTGAGCAGAAATCCCAGGTATAGGAGTTTTGGGCATTTTGAGTGGTCCCGGTTGCCGTTTCCTTGCTCAAGTTATTGTCCCTCGGTGCCTTCTCTTGGCCTTGTTGGCTCTGCCTCTTGGTGTTGGTGCTTTTGAGATACGTATACGTAAACGCTGGAAGCCTGCGGTGCATTCTCAGTGCAGCAGGCGTCGCAACCGGAACTACATCCCGAAATCTGCAACCTCACAGACTACTTGATGCCTAGGCACCCTGGTTTGTGAGGACATTGGTACAGCCTCAACCATGCGAATTATGATCACATGGAGCATCGATTGGGGTCTCTTTCCTGCCCTAATGCTCCTGGACTCTCGTAGTGAGATCCTAATCCTTAGCCCCAAAGCCCAAAGCCTCGCCACAAAGCCCCGAAGCCTATTTGGAGCCTTAGGGTGCTTCATCTTCAGATTCTTCCGTTGCTGCCTCCTACTCAGGCGGCGCCTGACACGAGTGGTGTCCTTGGCCATCGCGGCCAGTTCAGATGCTCAGGCCATGCTTGATGAGGGCGTAGACTACTACTCTACTACTCTACTACTTCACAATGTTACGACTTCAATGTACACTACTTCACGACCTCGCTCCCTTGCTACTGTTTTACTTTCCTGCTTCGCTACTCTGCTACTTTGCCTCTTTACGAACTTACTACCGGTATTAAGATGCTGCTTGATTTCACCTATACTGCAGCTACTATACTTCTCTTGCTGCTACTTCTGCTGCTGCTGACGCGCTGCTGCTACTCCTGCTCCTGGCCCCGGCCTGCTCCTGCTTCTGCCTCTGCCCTTGCTACTTTTTTACTCCTATACTCATAGTCCTGGAGTCCTACAGGGATAGGGGTAGAGGGCAGTCCTACTCCTCGTGGTCCTGCTCCTGCCACTCCCGCTGCTACTGTACTTGTACCTGTGTAAGTAGTAGCATGTGTCAGTACTAAGTACATGTCAGTACCAGCAACAGTAGTCGGCTTCGTTGTTGTTGTCGTAGTAGGAGGATTAGTAGCTATAGTAGGAGTTGTGTGATGAGAGACGTAGCGAGCGTTATAGTACATATGGTGAGTTGCAGGAGTCAGGTTGTCACGGCACCGCTTGGTGGTCGGGGTTGTGGTACAGTGCTGATGGTAGTGGTGTCTGGGACTGGTTTCGGCTGCAGTGTATCAGCAAGAGCACACAGCTAAGATGAGAAAGCTCCTATATAATCATGTCATACCCGCTTTGTGGAGCAGCACCGTGCACCCCGCCCTACAGCAGCATCATGATAGCGCCAGGCATAGACACCCCGACCTCTTCCCCATCCTGTTGTCGGCCCAACGTGCAGCAGGCGCCTGCCCTGCCGGGTCGCCGGCGGCCTGGGCCACGGTGCCTCAATGCACTGAGGGGTGGAACAGCCGTTTTTTGTGGCGGATGTTCATGTATATGTATATGTATATGTATATGTTTATGTACAACATGGAATATGCTCGCCCCAAGGCTCTGTACACTTGCAGTCAGCGTGGCAGGCGTCCGAAGCATGACCGCTGCACCCTCACTGGAAGCAGCTCACCGTGACATATCGGAGAAGGTGGGATGGTAGCCTGCAGTAACAGCTATGACGTAATGTCAATCATTCGAGTGTTAATACTCATAACTCAATAGCAACACTGGCAAAAATGATAAACCGACCGAAGCCAGTAAAATTGTTAGTTTCATTACTTGTGGTATTCGTGCTATGGTCGCTGGATGCTTCCTGTTTCGAGGGCTCCATGTTTAGTTTGCAACGGTATACGACTACAGTGACTAACCCTAATTATAAATCCCAAACCCTAAAACCATTACACTTAACAAGGAACCCCCGATCCCCCAACCCTCACCGTCTCAACACCTCTGCTCGTCCCCGAGACCTTGTCCGACAGCTTAGCCTCTGGTCTTCTGCAGAAGAGGACTTAGTCTCAGTGCGAATGCGACAAGAAAGCTCATGCATCCACTAGCTGTGCTTCCAATCTTCGGAGATTTCCTAGACCCTCCATCTACCCTCCATTAGACCCTAAATGCCCCTTATTTGGGACCATATACTCCTATTTGAGGGTAAAAGGAGGGTCCTGGTTGGGATGCCGAGGATGCAGAAGCTGTGTAGCTGGGCAAGTCGAGCCTCAAACAAGCTCAGCCTCAAACCCTAAACCCTAAACCCTGAAACCCTAAATCCTACACCTGAAACCCCCAAACCCCCAAACCCCCAACCCTGAACCCCTAAAACCCCTAGAACCCAAAAATTAAAACCTCCAAGCATGCTCAGGGTTACACCGTCTCGCGCCTGGGAGCAGCCGCAAGCGTCCGAGACATGGAGAAGGTGGAAGCACTGAGCACTGCACTTGGGTGTCACTGACAATAATAAGCACATCAAATGAATAACAGTTCTAAAATATGAATATCACTATGCATGTGCAAAACCGACTATTGGCTTTGCAAATAACTACAAACATACTTGTTGGTGGTTCTTTATTACATTTATGCTATCAGAAGGCTCCATTGTTGCTTTGGCTGTTGATGATGGCATTACCATCGCTCCAGTGCCGTATCTTACGCAACTTTTGAGCATCAGAAGTATTCAACCTTCAGCAGACGGACCAGGCGCGCCACGTGAACGTAAGCATTCTGATTGGGAAAAGCTGTGTCGGCGATGAGCGCACATGAAGAGCACAGTTTTTCAATATGGTGAGGTCGTGCATTTAAAATGGACCTATAACTGCTAGAGGGCCAGCCTTGTCTGTTGATTCTTCTGAACTTCATCTTGCTTTTTTTGTCAGCTTCGTCTGCAGATTGTATAGATCGAGGTTGATTTTTAAAGATGGCCCACATGTATTCGCAGCGAAGCATCCACTATAGGGGCCAAAGCATCCACTATAGGGGCCAAAATACTAATCCCCTACATTATTTTGGGGGCTCCTGTTCATAACTACGGTCTAATATCACCCAAACTCTATTCTAGAAGCGGCTCTGGCAGGTTGCTTTGCAGCTGATGCATGTGGATCCCAGCACCGTGGGAAGTGCCATGGCTACCGAATCCGTTCCCAAGTCCCTTCGGCCCTTCTCGCTTTCGTTTCTCTGGCACATCTGTCACTGATTGGAGATTGCGTGCTTGTGCCCGTGAAGCAGCTCAAGCGCTGTGCTTTCATGATTTGTTATTGAAGTGGGTGCCAAGCAAGCTGCTTAATGAGATTGTCGTGCAGTCCATCTTTTGTTGCGACAGTGGCTTCGTGTTTAGGCTTGGCTTCTGAGACACCTGGTACCATGTGTGAGCAACTAGGACTAGGTCAGGCAATGACGCAGTATCGCCGCCCTACCCAAGGGAGTGCAGAGTCTCCACGAAAAGCTGCACTCCCTCACACCGCTAGCCGGGTGTGGGGCTTCCTTTGTGGGACAGCCAGCTTTGGCTGTAGCGCCACTCCTTGGGGCCAACGCGTCTCTTGAGGCTGGACGTATGACAGCAGGGCAGCCTTGCGCTTTCGCAGGGCATGAGCTAACGCGCCTGCTGGGGAGTGGTCCGGACAGGTGCCGACACGATTGTTGTAGCCTGTCTGGCACATGCGGATTCGTGCTTCGACCCCTGTCTGTGGACGAGTGTGTGCAGGGAAGGCTTCACACACATCGATTGAAGTGTTTCAGCGTGGAACCTATCCTTCGAGGCCCTTGCTCATGAGCTCATTGCCTTACCCACGGGGGCACAGAGCCTCTCACCGAACGGCTGTGCTCCTTCACACCGCTGGCCGGGTGTGGGGCGCCGCGTGCAGCTTGCCGGCATAAGCCGCAGCGCCACTCTTTGGGGCCAACGCGTCTCATGAGGCTGGACGTATGACAGCAGGGCAGCCTTGCATCTTCGCAGGGCATGAGCTAACGCGCCTGCTGGGGAGTGGTCCGGACGTTCGTCGACCCCGGATGCACGGGGTCGACGGCGCGTCTGTGCAAGCGGCTTAGCAGGGGAGGCCCGCCATAGGATTTAAAGCTTGAAGGGGGCGTTGTATCCTAGCCATGGATCGATAGGCTATACCAAAGGGTCCTAATGTGCCTACATGGGGTCAACCATAATAGCAATTCCTAGTACAGAAACCCTACTTCTGCTATGCAGGTACTTAGGACCCTTTGGGCATACTGTGGAAGCTGTCAGCAGCAGTTCGCAGGATGCCCAACCTCCCGTCGCGTGTGCCATGCATGATGTGAGCTGCGTCCGAAATCCTTTGCTGTGTTTTCTATTCGGCGGTGAATTTTTGACATTATATACGTTTTTCGAAAAGGGCCCCCGCGCGCTCAAGGTACGCGCATGCGCGGACCAAGGGGAAGCAGAAGGTCTGGAGCTAGGCATGTCCTGGAGCTTCGTACCATGCGAATACATGTACATACTGTTCATGCCCAAAATCCGGCATGACCTATAGGTCATCGCACATAGCTCACGTCGCACTGTCCATTCCCTCGCAGCCGCAACCCCTGAATTTCAACCTTGCACCACCATGGGGTCATGCAGGATTTTGGGCATTCGCACAGGCCTTGGTGTTAATCCCTGCATCAGTGCAATATTAAAACTGGGGGTGGCAGGGGAGCCGTGGGGATGTTCAAAGTCATAGGATTTCGGGCATCAACCGTATTTGTACCCGCGCGCGCAAGGGCGCGCAAGTGACGTGACCCAGGGAATATTGGGCAACGCCCATGTGAGAAGTCGACGACGTGTTGTTTTATGGCACGGTTTCGATCTTGGGAAGCACCGCAAGCAGGACTGCAGGAATCGCAGAATGCAATTCTCATCAGGTGGCAGTCAGTGCCTGTCAGGGAGTGACATGCTACCCTAAGCCCTTAAACCCTAAAGGCCCTAAACCCCTGAACCCTAAACCCCTAAACACTGAGCCCGAAAACCCAAAGCTCTTATCACGGGTGGTCTTGAGACGCAGGGCTAGTTGATGGCATAGTCGCCTGGCCAGTAGGCCTTTCGTATGCTCGAACCGTTGGGGCAGGCGGAAAAAGGTGCTGAAAAAACAAACCCTAAGCCGATGCTCGTGGTCGTGGGTGTTCCGAACACCCAGAGACAGCCATACCCTTCAATTCAAGAATACATCATGCGATGGATCCTGTTATAACTTACAGCAGTATATCATATGAGGTATCCTCTTGTATATATACATATATACATATATATATATATATATATATATTTCGGTGGATTCCTTAACTGGGGGCTTTGGGAGTCTCTGGGCAGGCACAAGTTGAGCATGTTCTGTGCAAGCGGCTCCGTCAGTAACGATGCCGGGATAGCCTGCCCTGTTGAAGGCAGCTTCACTTTGCGCAGCATGTTGCCGAAAATCCTGCCAACCCAAGCGCAACTCCTGAAACCCTAAACCCTTACAACCCAAAGCCAAGCAATTGCCGGGAACTTTTACAACGAATGTCTGAGTTCGCAGAAGGGAACCCGGAGTTCCCAGAAAACCCCTTAACTAAGGAATATACCTTAAATTATTCTAGGGGATCCTATTCTAACGCAAGGTATATTCCTTAGCTGAGGGTTTTGGAGTATCTGGCTTCAAAACCCTAGATGCTCCACAGCCCAACCTCCCTTCGTGAGTCTAGAGACCATGTGTCATGATGATGTGCCTTGAGGGAAGAGGGACAGGGCGCTGGACAAAGTGGAACCTCTTTTGAGAGATACACACTGCGCATTGCTCCTACCCGCGGGGGCACAGAGCCTCGCACCAATACGGCTGTGCTCCTTCACACCGCTGGCCGGGTGTGGGAGGCTGCTTGCGGCTTGGCTGGCTTTGGCCGTAGCGGCACTCTTTGGGGCCAACGCGTCTCATGAGGCTATAGACGTATGACAGCAGGGCAGTCTTGCATCTTCGCAGGGCATGAGCTAACGCGCCTGCTGGGGAGTGGTCGGGACGTGCGTCGACTCCGCTGTCGTTGTGCACGCCTCGTGCAAGCGGCGCCGCAGGGGAGGCCAAACTTGAGACCTGAAGCGGGGGTTCACATCATATTAGAACATCTTCTACACGAGAGTAGCAAGGAGAGCATGAGACGGGGTTGGCAGTTTGGAGTTGAAGTCCTAAGCCTTGGCCTGGGTTGACATGCTCGAATGGAAGTCTGTCACCGTGAGCCCTGGACGCCCATTCGTGAGTCTAGAGACCATGTGTCATGATGATGTGCCTTGAGGGAAGAGGGACAGGGAGCGGCGTGTCCGGATTTGCACAAGCTGGACAGAGTGGCGTGGAACCTCTTTTGAGAGATACACACTGTGCATTGCTCCTACCCGCGGGGGCACAGAGCCTCGCACCAATACGGCTGTGCTCCTTCACACCGCTGGCCGGGTGTGGGAGGCTGCTTGCGGCTTGGCTGGCTTTGGCCGTAGCGTCACTCTTTGGGGCCAACGCGTCTCATGAGGCTATAGACGTATGACAGCAGGGCAGTCTTGCATCTTCGCAGGGCATGAGCTAACGCGCCTGCTGGGGAGTGGTCGGGACGTGCGTCGACTCCGCTGTCGTTGTGCACGCCTCGTGCAAGCGGCTCCGCAGGGGAGGCCAAACTTGAGACCTGAAGCGGGGGTTCACATCATATTAGAACATCTTCTACACGAGAGTAGCAAGGAGAGCATGAGACGGGGTTGGCAGTTTGGAGTTGAAGTCCTAAGCCTTGGCCTGGGTTGACATGCTCGAATGGAAGTCTGCCACCGTGAGCCCTGGACGCCGAGCCTCCCTTCGTGAGTCTAGAGACCATGTGTCATGATGATGTGCCTTGAGGGAAGAGGGACAGGGAGCGGCGTGTCCGGATTTGCACAAGCTGGACAGAGTGGCGTGGAACCTCTTTTGAGAGATACACACTGTGCATTGCTCCTACCCGCGGGGGCATAGAGTCTCGCACCAATACGGCTGTGCTCCTTCACACCGCTGGCCGGGTGTGGGAGGCTGCTTGCGGCTTGGCTGGCTTTGGCCGTAGCGGCACTCTTTGGGGCCAACGCGTCTCATGAGGCCGGACGTATGACAGCAGGGCAGTCTTGCATCTTCGCAGGGCATGAGCTAACGCGCCTGCTGGGGAGTGGTCGGGACGTGCGTCGACACCGCTGTCGTTGTGCACGCCTCGTGCAAGCGGCTCCGCAGGGGAGGCCAAACTTGAGACCTGAAGCTCGAAGCAAGCTTCACTCATGTTGCACAGGCTTACATGTGTTCCTGCAGACCCTGCTGGTCCCAGCCCCAACTCCCGAAGCCGAGCAAGCGTCGGAAGCTCTTGCCGGGAACTGTTGGCTTTGCACATCTTCCGAAGCTGTTGCATCTGAGTGGGGATTTGGGGTGCCTGGCATAGTTCTGTGTCATGGCGGGCAAGGCAGAGGATGTGAGGACTTTTCTCAATTTAGGCTTTAGGTGCCTTGGAGTGCGGACTTTTGGGAAAAGTGCCCCTTAATTCCGCCGTCACAGAAGCTTATGAGTTGCTTGTATGCCCTGATGATGATACCGCTGATGGACAAAATCCTGCATTACAAACTATAAGGAATATACCATAGTTCCCTTAGTTTAGAGTCCTTAGGGTCATGCAGGATTTGGTCCATCAGCAGTATTGAACCCCGAAACCCTTTACAGTACACCCCAGTCACACAGATCCACAGCACAGGATGCTCTCTTCGGAAATGTTTGCACGTCTTGATCTCGTTGAAAATCAGACCTCGACTTGCAACTCATGTCGAAACGTTGAGCATGGGGGCCCCAAGCAGCAAACTTGTGAAAACTGCATGCAGGTACGCCCTAGATGTAGCAACACAACTAAAACTCCAACACCCAAAACGCGCCCGCGAAATGTTGACGACAGCCGGCATACGCAAACCCCCAAAACACCTAGAACTCCCAAACCCAACACCCAAAACCCCAGCACAGGCTACAATGGTCGGGGCGGTGTTGTCAGATCCAGCATCGATGGCACGGGCTTTGTCGACTCGGCAGCTGGGGCGCCGAAGGAGCTGACGATACAGTTCCACAATGCGCCCTGGCGTTTTTTTTGGTGGTTTCCAGGGTTTAGGGTTCAAGGTCTACCTTATAACCCCAACCCACCTACTTTTGAAGGCGCCCTTACTAGTCCTCACTAGTAATTTCCTTCTCTAAGTCCTTGAGAAGGTAGGTTTTCATCGGGTCTAGGTTGATCCTATAAACCGGATATTTCGGGTGCAAGGGCTCCCAAGCTGTTTAGGGTTTAAGGATGAAGGTAAGGTGGGATATGATCCTCAACGAAGACCCCGCAAACCCCTAAACTCTGAACCCCAGGCCCGAAATCATCCCTAATGCTACCTACTACCATTTTTGGCCCGAACAGCGTAGTTGGAGGTGGCTTCATACCCATATAGGCCCCAAAGCAGATCCTTTTGGGATTACCTTGTAGGATTCAAAATATGAACCCCAAAAAGGAACTTCTTTGGGGCCTTAGGGTAGCAGCATAAACCCTACCTGGGACCCTGAACAACCCGACCTTTAGAGAGACTTAGACAAGGGGCTCATATTCAGAAGCCCCTAAACAGGTCGGTTATTCCGGGGTTCTGCCTGTACTCTCCACAGGAGTTCCGTTTGGGGTGTTACCTTATATAGGATCCTGATTGTATATTTGGGTTAACAAAAAAAGGAACTACAAAGTACAGCCTCCAAAACCCATTAATGAAGGACTATACCTAAAACCCCTAATATGATCAAGGTCTATTCCTCAATTAAGGTGTTTTGGAATCCCCAAGCCGAACCCAGGAGATGCCTAAACCCCTAAACCCCAAAACCCGATACCCTCATGGAATCCCTATAGATCCCTTTAAAGGGACCCCGAAACCCTAAAACCAGGAGATGGCCTATGCCACCGAGTATCCCAAATACGTGACTTTCGCCATGGTGCGGCAAGCGGACACTGACGGTACCACCACCTTGGCGGACAACTTGGTTGCGGCTTGCCTGATTAGGGTTGAGGGGTTTTCGGGTTTAAGGGGGTTTAGGGTTTATCGGGGTTTAGAGTTATAGCGTTTAGCTGATTTGAAACTGTCCGGCGGCCTGCCTTGCGGGGGTGGGGTTGTTCCGAGCTGCACGATAGCTGCCTGCACAGCATGTCGGGCAAATGGCAGCCATGGAACTTCAGCGCCATTGCTCTTGCAGGGTCCGAAGGTTGAGAAAGGGCATTCGCGCTGAGCAATAATACCGTACTTGGTGTCCTGCCAGCTTCCAACGCAGTCCGCGAGCCTCGCACTTGTGGATACGGCTGAAAGGGTGTCAGGTTTAGGGCGTAGCCTAAACCTTAAACCTTCCACGAGCAAACGGTAACTAGCTGACGCTCCCAGGTACAAGGCAGGCTTTCCACGGGCCTGCTGGACAAATTCCGCCGACTGGGTGTGCAGTATGTAAGATATCTGCATGATGAAGCAGAAAAAGACGCCCCAGATGCTTGGCATGGGCGCATTTTTGCAAGATCTCATAAGCTACTCAACCCATCCCCGTATAACACAGGGGCCTCAATAATTACCTACATTCTTGAGGGGGTTGCTTATTGTACTTGTAGTATAATGGGCCCAAAACCCATTGTAATTTTTACGGCCCCTATATTACAGCATTGATGAAGCCCAAGGTGTACCCAGGCTTTGGCAGCTTCGGCATTCAGGGCCAGGGATGTAATACCCCAGGGCCTGCCTATATTCTCCATTGCAGTATCCTAATTATATATTTATTCGGTTAAACCAATAAAAGGAACTACCTTGGAGACGATCGGTATGCATGAAGGATGATCCACTGCTCTTCTTGCACACCCCCTAGACCCCAAACCTCAACCCCTAAACCCGAAGCCCCAAACCCTAAACTCGAAAACCTAGACCCTAAATCCCTAAACCCTAAATCCTAATCACTAAATACCTGATCTAAAGAAAAAGATCCCTAAGCCCGCCTTTAAGAAAAACCCTAAGTCCCTAAGCCCAACTTTGAAAAATACTAAAATCCCTAAGCCCAAGGACTTCTACAACTCCTGGCAGGGAGCCTTCCAGGTGAAGAGCCTTGAGGAGGCCATGCAGACCCTGGGCGGCCCCTTTAAAGGTTCCTTCAAGGGTTCCTTGCAGGGTTACTATGTTACCATGACGGTTATATTATAGGGTTACTATCAGGGTTTAGGGCTTTAGTGCTTTAGGGGTTTGGGGCTTTAAGGGTTCCTTTAAGGGGTTTAGGGTTTGGGGGTTTAGGAGTTAGGGATTTGGGGTCTTGTGGTTTAAGGTTTAGGGTGATGGTATGTCCTGGCTCCAGCCCCTAAAGATACTATAACGTGCAGCACTGCATTAATAAGCAATGCAGAAGGTGAGCAATTTCCACTGTCCCTGAGGCCACGTTGTCATAGTTATCTTGCACCTTGAACCCTCAGCCGCTACAGTAAGTCCTTGTAATAGTAACCTCTGGATTTGCCCTTCATAAGACTTCTTCAAAGGAACAACCCTACACCCTAAACCCTAAATCTTACTTCCTAAACCCCAATGCCGCTAAGAGCCCTTCAAAGGAACCCTTAAAGTAACCTTCACAGTAACCCATATAGTAACGCTTAAAGGAACCCTTAAAGGAACCCTGATAGGAACCCTTAAAGGAACCCTTAGAGGAGCTGAGCCTTTCCCACTTTGTAGGCTCCCTCTTGGCTTGGCCTGAGGCTCCTAACGCTTTTCCTCGCAACCAGCGGGTTCTGAACCCAACAAAACCCTAAACACTAGACCCCAAACCCTAAACCTTAGCCCGAATATCATAATTTGCTATGATTATTTACTATATTCTTATTACGATTAGTACTATCATTACCCTAAGCCTTAAACCTTAACATTGCTTTGGTTTGGGAATCGGGTTCTGAACCCTAAAAACCCTAAACGCTAGACCCCAAACCCTGAGCCTGAACCTGAATACCATAGTTACTATTATTACCGTTACTACTATCATCACAATCATCATTAGTATTGCTAGTACAACTAGGGTTGAGGTCAAAGGTTGGTTCATGCCCAAGCCCAGGAAAGGCAACAACAGAGCCACTTTTTCCATCCTCGAGGCAGTCCTTTCAGAGGGGCATCGGGAAGGGGGGGCGGGGTTGGGCTCTGGGATTTTGGAAGTACTGCATGTGCTGATGGTCTGTGGAGGTTATAGTCTGTGGAGGTACATTTGAGCATGTTTGCATGGATGATGGGTATGTGCAGTGTGGATGCTTCCACACATGTGTATGTACAGGCATAGTGTATGTATATATATATATATACATGCATGTAGATCTGTCGGTCCGACTGTCTGTTTGCATGCATGCATGTATCCATGTATGTGTGTATGCATGGACGTATGTATGTTCTATGTGTCTTTATTTAGTACGGAGCTTCTAAGACGTTTCTGATCTTGGTGCATGAACCTGCATGCTATAAAACGCCATCATGCATCACTGTATGTTGATGACCATCTCCATGTTGATGATCATCTTCTCAGTTTTCATGATGATGTACTGCTGCAGCCGAACCATGATGATGTCGAGGATGATGGTGCTCGCAAGAACCATGGTTATGCTTGCCACCGAGCGCACTCATGTTCCGGTACCCGCGATGGCTATCATGATGATGACGGCCATCATGATGACGGCAGTGGTCATGATTGAGACCAACCTGGCAAACACGACCAATGCCAAGATGAGCATCATCACCATGATTGCCATGATGCTACTGCCTGTCACTGCACTGGCTGCTGTCCCACCTGCTTCTGTGTGAGGTGCGACTACTATTACTACTACTACTACTACTACTACTACTACTACTACTACTACTACTACTACTACTACTACTACTACTACTACTACTACTACTACTACTACTACTACTACTACTACTACTACTACTACTACTACTACTACTACTACTACTATTTCTACTACTACTACTACTACTACTACTACTACTACTACTACTACTACTACTACTACTACTACTACTACTACTACTACTACTACTACTACTACTACTACTACTACTACTACTACTACTACTACTACTACTACGCTGCTGCTGCTGCTGCTGCTGCTGCTGCTGCTGCTGCTGCTGCTGCTGCTGCTGCTGCTGCTGCTGCTGCTGCTGCGCTGCTGCCAGGTATTACGGTATTGCTACTGCTGCTGCTGCTGCCCTGCTTCCAGTATTCCTACTGCTGCTGCTGCTGCTGCTGCCAGTACGAGTACGCCGACGAGGACGACTGCCACGTTTGCTGCTGCCGTTGCTATGCTCACTACAGTTCCGAGTGCTTCTGCTACTAGCACCACCACCGCCTCGGTTCGATCTGTTTGCCGTTGTTGGCGATTGTGTGCGGTACAATCTTCCTCGTTGTTGCAGCTGGGCGGTGCGTTGCGGTTCGATACCCCTACAGCCACACCCACACTCGCTCCACTCCACGCGCCACAATTCATCCTTGAACCCCGTTGCTGCGATGCGGTGTGACGCGGTGTCGGTTTATGCGATGTAGTCTTCTGCGATGGGGATTCGGTTCGGTGACGATACCGATTCGACGTCGACAATGTATTGTTGCAAAGCCCATGACTACTGGCGCTTCCAGTACTACTGGCGCTGCAACACTTCTCGACGATGTCGTCGCGTTGGGGCTACTGGTTTTGTTACTGTTCTGACTATCCAGAATTAGTACAGTAATGCTGCTGTCCTAGCATAGGCATATTACGGCGAGGAACAGGGTTTTGACTTGTCATTTTCTTGATCCGGCGGCCTTTTATCTCTCCTCATTCGAGTTGCTGTCTCGTAAGGCTCATTCAGATGGCCGAAGACTTCGCCACACACTTTGGTGTATCTGGTCTTCAATTCCTGAATTGTCCGTTGTTGGGGCATCAGCTTTTCGTGAGCGGAGCCTAAGAGCCTCAAGAAAGTCTAGGCCAAGGAAAGCGGGTTTAGGGTTTAGAGTTTAGGGTGCTCGAATCAATTGCTTGAATATCACGTGGATCATCGTTTGATGGCATTGGCTTCAGGCTCCTCGGTAGATATGCTAAATGCTGTTCATGTTCATCATTGTGGGTTATTGGCACTGCCATGACTCTTTCTTTTCAACTTCCGGTTCTGTCAAGATCACAGCACAACAACCAACAAGTTCCCTTATTGTCAAGCAGGCTCTTCATTGACAAACTGCGAGTGCTTCTACATGGCTTGACTCTGCCAGCGTTTCCGAGGAACGTCATGACATCGCCGAGGCTTCCAAGACATTCCATGCAATCTGAAAGTTGCAGCAATAACAGGTGAATCTTGAAAGATTCAGCAGATCGAACTCAAAGCACGGTTGCCAACGTCATTCCTTAGGGTTCCTCATCACAATTGTACTAGTACTATAATAATATACACCCTAAGCCCCATTTTTAAGGGCCCCCGACAAGAGAGCATCAATCCTTTGCCGAGGTCCGGTCTTCCACCACCATCCAGTCCACGGCGAGCTGTTTTTCAACTCGCTGTCGCTAAGCTGGATGTTTAATAGGGGTTAGGGTAGTAGTATAGTAGTATAGTAGTATAGTAGTATAGTAGTATAGTAGTATAGGGTTTAGGCTTTAAGCTTCGAGTCCTGCATAATGTGTGCGTGTGCGCCTACATTTATATGCACGTGAAGTCAGTGGTATGATGATAATGACGATGGTACGGTCGTCGTCATTGTCATCTCTACTGTATCGCCCTAATTTTCCTCCTCGTTACCTTTGCCATCATCGTCGTCGTTCATCGTCATCATGACCACCGTATATCACGGTCGTCCTTGTCATCGGAGTCCCGGCGATTGTGGTAGGAATTGCTCGGCATTGCGATTTGGGGTGTGGCAGACCGTGTTCGCCAGTCCCCCTGAGGCCAGCCTCCATCTCGGACACCCTCCACGAACCCTAAAACTTGCTAAACCCTGAACCCCTACACCTGTATAAACCCTAAACCTTTATTGGCCTAGGCTGAACCGACACGGCTCTTGGCTCGACGGCCATGCGGTGTTCGGAATCCTGGCCGCAGGCCCCGGAATGCCTTTTGTGGTTTAGAGGTCTGCCTGGCAGTAAACTTTCATACCCTGTTCTTATAAACTTCCCATATAGCACCTCTATGGTACAATGTACCTCTGTTGCACTCCGAGTCTCAGGAAAGCTGCCCAACAGCGAACGGCCTTATCACTGCCTCTGGGGCGATGGCACGGAGCTTTCTGTAGAGGCCCAAGGGGGATGAGGTTGTATTCGAGTACATAATAATATTTTTGAATATCATATTCTGTCTATTATATTATAGTACAGTGTTTTGTATCATATTCTGTCAGTTATATTTAGTATCGTTTATTTATGTCATAGTATATTCCACTATATTACACCGCTGGTGCCGAGCGAAGAGCGACACTTTTGGACCTTGGAATGCTGACAGAGCCAGTGATCCGGTTCAAGTAACATGGGGGTTTCTGAAAATTAGGGGGTACCTTATTCTGGGGTTCCTTATAATAAGGACCCTACTATTTAGGGTAGTATATTAGGGTCCCCTATTTTCGGAAGCTCCCCTACAGGGGCCTAAAGAAGGGGCCTATATAGGGTTCCTTTAAAAGAGTTTCTAGAAGGGATCTATAAGGCTACTATAATATAGGGGCCTCAATAATTAACACTATACTATTTTGGAGGGTACTTATTATAACAAAAGTAGAATGGGCCCCCAAAACCCCATTGCAATTATATTGGCCCCTATAGTATATCACAATGTTGCTAGGACCGGAGTGGCCCGTATTCCCTTTTTTAGGGTTCTGGTTCCCTTAGAAGCCCCTTTAAACCAAAAAGGGCACCCTTTTAATTCTTTGTTACTGTTGGGTCTAGGTTGCAATTCCTCGTGATGCAAATGAGCGTGGTAGCTGGGTAGGTATGAAACCTTTCAACCCCTTGGGATTTATGTAATCCTAACACAGTTGAAAAGGTTTTAAACTTGTTTTGGGCTAAGGTACTCAGCCCCAAAGTGAGCCAGTAGCACCCGCAAATTTGCCTGTTGCGGAAACCAAGACGCAGAAGGTGTTGGAAGCCCTCTCTATCACTGCACCGCAAGGAGCTTTCGGAGATTCGCAAGGCCTACAGCGACAGCACAGCATCTTAGCTGCAATTCCGGCCGTGCCTGCTGTTCTTGCACATTATAGTTAGTAGAAATATGTTGTATAATAGAAGTAAACATAGTATATTATAGCATGGTATAGTATAGTATAATACAGCAAAATACATAATACTGTATAATATAGTATAATACAGTATGATGTAGTATACTGTAGTATAGTATAATTAGATATTGCACATCTTTCTATAGCAGCTGTACTGTAATACGACATAAGGAAGTAGAGCATGATACAACACAACGTAACATAATGTAATATAGCATGACGTAATACAACATAATGCACTGCAATATGATACGATGCGATGTAATGTGGGATTGTATTATAGTAGGAGCTAGTTCTCCGTGTCTGCTCGGGGCGAGCTGAGGAGTACATCCGGCTGGATGCCGGTGATGCAACAGGGCTGCATTGCAGGCGAAACCTAGTGAGCCACAGACGCAGGAGTTTACCTGGTTTCCTGCCGTTCTCTGACGTTTTCTCTTTGCGAATCACTGTTGTAGCGCCTGATGCCTTTGAGCATCGTGACCACTGGCAGCTGTAATACCTATCCTGCTTCCCCGTAAATGTGTATCGATGTTCCCAACATGTATCTGGTTCAGTCTCCTGCGCATTGCAAGAAGACAAACCCAGCTCACAATTTGTGCAGAAGTGCCTGGTTTCGATCGCGACCTTGAACCCAAGCTCCGATAACCCTAAAGCCTGAACCCTGAACCCTCAACCCTTGACCCTCAAATCGAAAGCCCTAAACCCTATGACCCAAACGCTTTAAGCTGTAACCCTAAACCAAAACCCCACACTCAAAGCTCCGATTTCCTCGAAACGAAGGTCCTCGTGCTCGATAACCTCAGAGTAGTCCATGGCCGCACGCCCTACAACGGCAGTCGTCTTCTGGGCCTGCTGCTGTCGGACCCCTCTAATACTGTGTTACTCGAGTTGTAGATTACTCTATTGCTAGATATTTAGATTACTGCATTCTTCTATTACTATACTATATTGCTAGATTACTATAGTGTTCTATTGCAAGATTACTGCATTACAAGATCACTCTCTTGCTAGATTGCTCATACAAAAAAGGGCCTCTTGGAAGGGACGGTCGGGGCTTCGGGTGGGGTGGGAAAACAAAACCCCGGAAGCCTGACTCTATGATTCAAAGATAATTACCCAGGGGCCCCAAAGTAGTTCCTTTTTGGGTGTGTCCTCTTTTTTGATTAGGGACTCTAATATACTACCCAAAAAGGAACTACTTTGGGGCCCCTGGGTAAGTCTTCCAAACTTCCGCGACTGCCGCGAGAATCGTTTCCGGTGGCAGGGGGTCAAGGGCTGGAGGCTTCAAAATTGCCTTCAAGCCTGCGGGAAGTATAGGCCCGCAGGCTTTAATCGACGAGATTCTGGGGGCAGATCCTGATCAAATGGTATTGTTTCAATTGCCAAGGATGCAATCTCACTCGGTGATATTCCTATTCTTGTTCTTACTAATGGTGTTGTAATTGTTCTTACTCTTGTTCTTGCTACCATGACGATAACAGAATGTGACTGTTATTAGTACTGGTATTATTCTTGCTATTGTTAGCTCTTGTTACTATTACTGTCGCTGGTGGTATGATGATTCCTATTACTTTTAGTTGAGATTTGTTTCAGCATCACGGCCGTTATTAGAGCTGGGAGGACATGGTGCCGCGGCCGTTGTGCAGTGCACCGGAGGCGTTCGCCAAACGGCTGAGCGCCTGAGAGACGCTAAGGCTTCTCGCACTAAGACGCGGGTACACAACAGACACCAAGAGCTAAGAGAAGCCTTAAAAGACGAAGCCACGAGACGCTGTCATGACCTTCGGTTCTAAGGACTTACCTCAGGCTGTAACTGAGCCTAAGTACAGATACCTTTTTTATAACCCTAGTTATCAAGTCCCATGATCCTCCATGTAGACCCTACACCCCAAACCCCCGTAGATCCCTTATAGATCCCTTTAAGGAACCCCTTTAGGAAACCTTTAAGGAAGGACCACTAGAGCCAGTTCGCCGGATCCTCTCTCTTGAACGGAGCCTAAGTGGCTCGGAGACGATCTCCAGACCTGCGCAGCTCTGGAAAAGAACTCATAGCCGTCTCAGGGGCAGGAGGGTTACTTAGAACTGCCTTCGGTTTACGGTTACTAAAATCTTCATAAGCCCTAAGACACACCAAACTTGTTGAGTTTTGTTAAGGGTCTAAGTTCAGTATAGTCCGGGAGGGGTACTCTAGTTTGTTCCTGTTGGTGGCGGAAGCCACAGACGTCGGTCTTCGAACTTTGATAGGGCCCGCAGCCTACCCGGCACTTCCATATGTCTTATGTGGCGTACGAAAGCTGAGCAAGATTGGGCAGCGCTGCACGATACAGAAGCGTCAGGCTGTGATTACTGCTTCAGCTACAAGTTTGATTGTGTGGGCATGGTGTGTTGCAGGCTGCTCTTATCCCCGATTGCGCCGTTTGAAGCCCTCCTGAACTCAGCAGTAGAGTAGGCTGCCTTCAACGTATTACAAAATCCACGGAATATGATTCCAAAGCTTAACCTTGAGTCCTCCTTGGATGTTGGACCCGTGACAAGTAAGTCAAAGTACTATAGGGGCCAAAATAATTGCCAATACTATTTGGGGGGGGGGGGGGTCCTTATTAAAGTTATCGTAAAATGGGCCCCAAAACCCTATTGAAATTACTAAGGCCCCTATATTAACTGGAGCGCTCCATTCCATGACTGGCGACCCTTTCGCTGTCAAGCCGCACCTCGGCCCAGCTGCGGTGATAAGCTGGCATTGCTGAGCTTCCGGATTCCAGCAGTATAGTGGGATGGAGTATAAAATGCACTGTTTTGTGGTATAGTAGGGTATAAAACAATAATATACTCAGCGCTGTCATGATGTTGGTCAAAGGTTTTGGTTCAGTCGGGGAATGATGAAAGTCGTGTTCAAAGCTTTTAAATGGTCCTGGGAAGGACTGGGAAAGTTATTTCTGTCGAGCGAGCTGGAGAGCCGATTCTTGTAAATACCCGAAACTAGTGGACACTGAGATCTCGTGCGAATTATTCGGCTGAAACCCCGCATGAATTCCGGATTTCATTGGATCTGACAGGTGCTCGGCCAACCAGCCGCCGGAGGCGACAAAGTTTCGCAGTGGCGCCTCGGCACACCTGTAAATTCTCACTTACGATGATTTGGGTCCTTTCAACGGACGAGGGCGACACATCGTCCATCGTCGCGAGCTTCTTCCCCTCCGTTCTGTGAGTGCTTTGAGGCAGACGGCCAGCCGGGGTCCTTCTTTCAACCTCCCGGCGTGTGCAGCGCGGACCCTTGCCATTACCCCCGTGCCTGGGCACAAAGCTGCAGGATGCTCTTGAGCATGTCGGGCTGCAGATCGACATCGAACTGCACGAAGCATCGTTGTAGTTGGAAGCAGCGGGGTAAAGGCAAAGGTACTTGTGTATAGTATAGTATAGGTGGGCGATCTATCTTTTATGGCTTGATGCTTCTGAGAACCACCGTGAGAAGACCGCAGAATGCACAGGTGGAGGTTGCGCGGCATATGCCGCGAATGGTCGCGACTAGCTGCTGCCGAAGCACGGCTGCGGCGGGCTGCCCGACTGCTTAGAGACCTCATCGATCTGAGTTGGTCGCCTGCGGATTGGGTAACTACCCGTTATGGATACTACCTCAAAAGGTTTGCGTTGTCATCTTTGGGTGCTCTTGTTGTTCCTGTTTAACGAGCCTTGGGTCGTTGCTGTAGGGTTTTTTCGGTGGATTCAATTATTTGGGTGTTGAAGGATCAGGGTCTCTTGAGCAGCTTCTGAGAAACCGGGCAGACGAGGCTACAGTACCCTGCCAGATCGGCAGCCCTTGCCATAGCTCCGACCGCACCCAATACCCCAAGCTGGAAACCAGGAACAACATATTATAAGATCCATGTAGAGAGCCCTAAAATCCTAAAACATTTTCATTATCATTCGTATCATTATTATTACTATTATAAAATCCGTTATTTAGAGAGCCTTCAAAAGGACCCAAGCTTCCTTAGTCAGGTTCTTTTTTTTGCACGTCCTTGGCAGAACTCAGCTCTTTGGGCCG